GGGTTGTCACATGTAGGGCAGCTGCTAGCTTCTCAAGCCATCCCCGTTCTCATAGCTTTGGTGGTCCAGGCTTCACTGCTGTCTCAGGTTTAGGTAAAGAGAGTCAAGTTTTCAAAAATTTTAATCAAAAAATTTAATGAATGTGAGTACATTAGCCTGGCTATACATGCAGATGCCCCTTGGTATTTGTGAGGGATTGGTTCCAGGATTTCTATAGTATAACATAGTTTTCAGACTCTTAAGCCCCCTGTGTAAAATGGCATAATTTTTGCATTAACCTTCCCAATGCTTTAAATCTTCTCTAGAATATGTGTAATACCCTGTACCAATGTAAATACTGAAACAATAGTTACTATGCTATATTGTTTAGGGATTAATGATGGAGAAAACACCGTATATAGTACAGGTACAATTATTTTCCAGATATTTTCAATCAAGGATTGGTTGAGTCCATGGATGTGGAACCAAGGGATTTGGAGTGCCAACTGTATGCACATGTTGGAGGAGGCAGGCCTTTGCATAAAGAGATTTGGAAGGTGAATTAGGAAGAAATCTCAACCAACTAATGTCCCTCCCTCTTCCTTCCCTCTTCTTTTTTTAATTTTTATTTTAAAGAGAAAAAAACCCCAGAACAATCAAGAAGCAAACAAACCAAAAGTACAACTAAAGCAAAATGACAACAACAACAACAACAAGCAACAATAGCTATATAAGTTTTCAAAACAAGATGATAGGAATGTAACAATAGTTGTTATATTGCATATTGTTATCTTAAAAATAGTTGCTCAGGTTACCAGATACAGAAATAAAACAAAACAGTAAAACAGAACAAAACATTGGATTTCAAAAACAAGACAGAAGGAAATCCCCCACTGTTGCTATAATACACATTGTTATCCTCCAAATAGATGCTCAGACCACTAGCTGTAGGCCCACAAAGTCAATCAAACAATGAAAACACCAAATTATTCTATTTATTTATTTTTACTTCAGTTGCTATCCTCTTAGCCTGTCTTCCTCCCATCAACCTATTGCTTTTGGGGCAGGGCGGGGTGGGGTAGGGTGGGGCTGCCTTTCTTGTCTCCCAGCCTGCACACCGGTTGTTTCATGGAAAGGCGTGGTTTGGCTTCTTGATACTTTTCCTGTTCCCTGTGGTGGCTGCCCCTGGCTCATGTGATTCTTTCCCTCTTTTCATTCTTTATTTAGAAACTAAAAGGGCTGGAGATGTAGCTTAGTAGATACTTGTTTAGTATGCCTGAGCTCTTCTGTTCAGTTCCCAGTACTACACACACACACATACCCACTCAAAGTTAGTGTCTCTAACTTGCAGAAATACCATTTACAAGCAATCACAGCATGCTTGTGACCCTGTGTCTGGTGAGTCTGGTCATTGTCTCTTGAGGATGCTCCAGAGCCCAGGTCTTTACCTTGACAGTTACAGCTGTACCTTAGGTGTCAGGTTAAATGTCAAGTTGCTTTGTTCACTTTACAAAGTTTCCGATGGACCCTTCCTTAGTATCCAGTAGCAGTATGTGTGTTTTCACTTTTGTTTTAATTGCAAAGGCTGGCTGGGCTCAGCATGTGAGTTTTGGGCTACTATATGTCCTTGTGCAGTGATGCAGTATCTCCAAATGTGACTGATAAGGAGCAGTGCTGAAGTGTTTCTCTGAAGGTTTCTCACATCAGTTAGGGCTTTGGGCTTTAGTGCTTTGCACAAAAAAAGAGAACTCAAATATAAGCACAGTGACTTCATGCCCCTTTACTCTTGAGGCCTGAGTCTCAGGGTATGAGTTTTTCTATCTATCATCAAGTGACTACTCATGTCTTTCAGGAAAGTCAGGAAAGTTTCATGCCAGGGAGTGGGTAGGCATTGCATCTAGATGTTCTCTCCTGCTACTTCTGAGGCCCATGAGCAGAAAGACTAGCCTAAGGTGTAATCAGCCAATCTTTGACTTGGAAAACCCAGAAAAATGTGAATCCTTGTCCCGATTCTACCACACTCATTGCTGTCCTTAGGCCTTTGGGCAGCACAAGATATGTGCTAAGATTCCTGTTACCAAGAATACAAATTCTCTGCAAGTGGGGCTAGAAGGAGTTTAGAGAACCTGAAGATTAGAGGAAAGACAGGATCAGAAGGTGCAATGAATTTAAGTTCATTGGGAAACAGATCGGGGAATTCAAGGTCTCGATGGCTAGAGGACCATGTCTAGGTCTGTTCTATGTCCACTTGGTTCTGTGCGTAAACATGGCTAAGGTTTACACTATCATCAGGCACACTTAGATACATGGAACTCACTGGTATTGTCGCTGACTTGAATAAACTTTTCTTTGTATTGAACTACTGCAAAAGAACCAATTTTGTGATGGAAGAGAGTATATGATTTACTTTTACTAGCAAGATCATCTGGCTGGAGAAGCTGAAGACACATCTGGAAGACTCTGGAAGGTTTGCATATGCTCCTATCAATACAGTTGCACCAGCTGAGCCTTCCTAGAGTAGAGTTGCCAAGCCCTACATCTGCCCCTACAATGTGAGTGCTGAAGATATGGAATAAGTAGAAGGATTAGTACTGCATCCTCTTCCATTTTGAGGGGGTTAGTGACAGTCACGGAAGTTTCTGGAAGACTGAAATATGGTCTGTCTTCTAACTGGTAGTTGTGGATTGTGGTTATCAGTCGGGATCCACACTGTTTAATTCTTTGGTCTAGAGCATCTGGAGAAGGCAAGCTGAGATGTGGGTGTTTGAGAAACATGTATTGGGGTAGTGTCTTCTTCCATGTGTGTCTAAGAACATTTAGACTTCTGAGGTCTGAATCTGCTTACTTCTCAGCCAATTTGGGTATGTGGAGTTACTGGTAAGGGCTCCCTGTTCCACATTTAGCTTGGTCTAAGAGTGGGGTGCTTCCAGATTCCAGTAAGGCGGTGGCCACGGCAGAAACTCCAGGGCACTGCTCCTCCCAGGGCAGAGAACATCAGCAGTTTGGAGAAGAGATTGAGAAAAACATGGAAGTTCTTGTAACTACTGTTTTTGGAGTCCTTGTCACAAAGGGATCTGGAAGCTGCCTTAGAAGATTTAAGATTCCTACATACCTCCTATTCATGTCAAATTTACGAATCTGAACTACTGTGTTAGGCAATATCACTCTGCTCCTGGAGTTTGAATTTCTTTGTGTATTTTATTTTTTAAAAGAGTGCAATGTGTAGTTTACTCTTAGGTTTTGTGGGGGTGAATATGCTTTTTGCCAGACCTTCCAGCGAGTATGTAATGCTCGTTTGGGTTGGAGATTTTGATATTTCTTGTCATTGTGCTGTTCTATTCAAGATTTATTACCTGTGTTTCTTGTCATCATGCAATTTGGTTCTGGATTTATTTCTGTGCACAAGCCCCCCACTTTCATCCCCCATGCAAGGTTTTGCTACAACAAATGGTTCCATTGGTCACTGGGTTGCTTTTTGGCAGACTGGGAGTTCTTATAATAACAGCACAAAGCAGAAGGGACTGATTTTACCCTCTTGGGAGGAGAGTAACTCAATTGACATTCTATTATAATTTAGCAGTCGGTTAATGGCCACTTACTGGAAAATGTTACTAGGCTCTGTGGTGAATGTTGTTAGAAACTGAGTTACTCTGTGTATTTCCCCAGGGCCCATTTCCCCCTCAGCCTGGAGTAGACCCGTGGAGCTGCAGGAAGTGGCACTGTGTTGCAATCACACTTCATTGTTCCTTCATATTATTTATTTTGTATTTCAAAAATAATTATATTCTCTTAATGGAACTAAGACTTGCCAGGAGCCCAGGGGGCGATGCAGGGGGCGCTGGGTTATGTGCTGGGCAGCTGCAGTCTGTGTGTACCCAGCAACATCAGTGTCACATGTGATTTAAGTTCCTTTACACCTCCCTTGACCTTCTTGTCTTTACCCATGAAATGATTTCAAACAGCCAGTCATTTCTCTTGGTTTGTAAAAGTACTTACTTTGTAAAGCCTTTGATGGGCTGCAGAGGTGAAAGAGTATGAGTTTACTAGCTATATAAACCTGGACAGTGCCCTTAACCCCTCTGAGGCTCTCAGTATTGTTACCTATTGGCAGATGGAGAGATGGGTTCCCAGAAGTGGAGGAATGAATGAAATTATGTGAATGGAGGCAAGTGACACAAAGCCTGAAATTGCTAAACCCTAATCAAAAGTTTCCTCTCTCTCTTCCTTGCCAATATAAAAATAAGACAGCAGCAGCAGAATAGTCCCATTTGTAGGGTTGGGCTGTTGGGAGCTGCATGGTGGAGCAAGGGAGCTTATCCATCAGTTTTCTTTTTGGCCCAGGGAAATCTTTGACCTTTCCCTTCAGCACAAGACAGAGGTGTGTGTGCAGATTACGCAGGTTTTTATACAGGTCAGATTGGTTCAGCTCTTTGGAAGGAGTTAATTGAATGATCTGGGTGCAACAATATTCAGTGAATGACAGTGTAACTACTCACTGAGGCCAGTCCAAGATGCCCCACTTCCTTAGCCTGTAGGTGGACAGCTTGTTTCTGGTGGATGGTAGGAAGCATATTGCTTCCAGCTGTAATGTCCAGCTATCATGCAGGTTGGTCTCCTTCCAGAGGACTCCACACTGGGATGGTCAGGATATTCCATTTCTGGGTCATGTTTTTAGCTCCTTGGGCCCGCTAGGGATCTCAGTCATTTCTAAAGTAAATAAAATAATTGTCAGCAGCCTCCTACTTAAATACTGTGGCTGCTGCTCCTCTTTTCCCTGTATGAGCAGAGGAAGTCCTCTGGGGCACTTGGCAGCCTCTCTGCCTGATGGCACCAGAGCCTGGATTTTTGAGGTCTAATGGATTCCACAATTTTTCCTTCTGTGTCCCAGTCTGGATGGCATCCCTAGGCCCATCTCGCAGAGGCACTGAGGGAAGTGGGCAGCTTGCTTTCTGGACTCCACCCACTGCTGGCTCACACTGACATGGCTGTGGTTTGCTTCTCTTTCCTTCCTCCCACTCCAGAGTACAAGAAGAAGTATGGTGAGGAACACGGCTCCTGCCAAGCAGGGATAGCAGGCTTCTTCACTGAGGTAGGTATCAGCTGTACGGGCATATCTCTTCTTTTAGTAGTCTTCATATTCTCACTTTCCATGATTTTGGTGACATGTGGAAGTGAGACTTCCTGTGTTCCAGATATGCACCCTATGGCTGAGCAGATTCTGATCTTCATATCATAGAAGGTTAAACCTGGTGGGGACACAGTTGGTCAGAGTCCATCGGGCAGAGGAAGTGGGCTGGAGACTTACAGAGTTCAGCTTGACTCAGTCCTTTGGAAGGAGCTGATTAAAGGGGGAATGGGTACAACAGTTGGGCCTCACTGGCAGTTGCGATATATCAGGCATATAAGTGTTGTGATGAAATCCTGTGAGACACAGTTCTATTTCTTTTCTCCAATTCTGAAGGACTCTACACTTGAATGTCTGCTGAGCAGCAACATTTTTAGGAACTGTTTTTTTTTTTTACATGATTCTAATCTGTAAGATCGCTCTTCAGTGTTCATTCCACAAACATTTTTATGTTTGCCAGCTCTGTGAAGTGTTCCTTGTTGTCACCATCTACCATGGAGTTGCATAAGCTAAATGTAAAAACTGTTTTAATTCTGGTTCATCTACAATTTTTAGTTTTAACCTTCAAAAGATATTCCAAATGACAGATTTTCTTTATTACCACCATCACCTCCTGATTGTCACCATGCTTCTAAAAAAGCTACTACCATCACCTGGAGATACATTGGCCCTAAATTGGTCTCCCTCAGTCCATTAAAAAAAAAAAACTGTGTTCAAATATAGCTAACATAAAATTTCCCATTTTCACCATTTTAAAGTATACAGATCAGTGACATTTATAATGTCATACAACTGTCACCATTGCTTAGCTTCGAACTTTTTGTTGTTGTACTGGGGCCTGAACCATAGCTTCATACGTACTAGGCAAACCCTCTGTCCTGGAGCTACACTTGTAGCCCAAGTTTTAGAACATTTTCATTACCTTAACCTGTGTCCATTCTAGACTCCTCTATAGTGTGTGTTTTCTACACACCAGCCTGAGGGATCTTTAAAGTCAAACACACCATTCTGATGCTGTGACTTCTCATTACATAAGAGTTTAAGACCCATATTCCACCTCTTGGTGCATGGGCCTAATTCTCTGAGGACACATCTTTCTTCTTCCTTCATTCTAAGATAGCAGAGTGCTGGAGGAGAGAACAGTTCTTGAGGGGAGGAGAAAAGATGGATCGTATTCTGATTTCCAAAGCTTTCTGGAGTGTCCTGAGCCAAGAGCTCAACTGTTCACCTTCATTTCAGAGGCTATAGTTTAAATTTAAAGAGAAAATAGGCAGTTGGCAGTAGTATTTAATATAGAGAATAAAAAAGGAAAGATAGAAGGTCAGAAGAAATCTCATCCTTTATTCTTAGACCAATAAATACGAGATGCTTCTTTCCAATTTCTTGTGTCCATTAATGCAGGTGTCATTTTAATGGTTGTACAGTACTCTGTGCTAGACTCTGTGAATGGTACCCCAATCATCTGAACTGTTGAGGCCAAAAACTCAAAAATTCTTCATTTACTGCTCTCTCCTACTATCAGCCAACAGCAAGTCCTACCTTTCATGCCCTTAAAACCTATCACAAAGGTATTCATTCCTCTCCTTGACCTCTACCACTCCACAAATGTAAGCTGCAGTGGTTTTGCCCTAACCTGCTACAGAGCCTCCTGTTACTCTGCTTCCACTCTCCCTCCTGACAGATGAGTCCCAGAACCGTCTTTTTTTGAGATAGGGCCCTGCTATGCAGTTCAGGCTGGCCTTGAGCTCACTTTGTAGCCCAGGCCGGTCTTGAACTTGCAACAGTCCTCCTGCCTCAGCCTCCCTAGCAGAACCTCTTCTACAAACAAGAAAAGTATCATGGTGCTCTATGTAGAGAACTGCCCAGTGTCTTTCTAGCCACTTACACTGAAATCCAGATGCCTTTTCTCGAATGGGCTCCCAGGCTCTCCTGCCTTTCAGCCTCATCCATTCCCTGACCTCCTCTGACTCACAGAGTTTGTGGCTGCTAGGACATGCCACACACTAATTGCAGCACTAAACTGGAGACACACATGTTGGACACACACATACTCCTTCTCTGTTCTTAAGCACATATTTCTTTAGAAGTGGTGGAGTCCAGAGGTACTCAGAGTTGGACTTTCAATACATTCTGGAACAGTGCATTCCAAAAATGTTTACTACTTGACCCTTCCACACACCTAAGTGTGTCCCAGCATTCTCCTATCAACATTTTAAAATGGTTCACTAAAAAAAGTCTAATTTTATTTTAATGTCCCACTCCGTGATTATTTGTGTAATTTTAATAGCTTTTCAAATATTGCCATTTGTATTTTTCAGAAAATTCCTTGTTAATGTTAGTTCATTGCTTTCATTTTATTGTGGTTATTTTATTGACTTGTGGGAACTTAGAATGTATTTTACACTAACCTCTTACATGTGTTGTAAAAACATTTTTAAACCAGTTTTTTGCCTGTTTCCTTAGTGCTCTTGTGATGTCTTTATTGTCCTGGCCTCAAACATTGATGCTTTGTCGAGTCTATCATTTTTCCCCCCTGGATTATAGATCCCTCTGTTACTTAGGAGGAGAACCCCTCTCTAAGAATATGAAAGTATCCATCTATATTTTTTCTAGTACTTTTACAGAGGTTTTTTTCCCCTAGTACTGGGAATTGAAACTAGAGGTTCTCTCTACTGTGCTGCATCTTGGACTCTTTTTTAAAATCATGATATAAGGTCTCACTAAATTACCCAGTTTGGCCTTAACGTGTGATCTTACTTCCTCAGCCTCCTGTGTAACTGGCATTACAGGCATGTACTATCATGCCTGGCTATACAGATTTTTGTTTTTTTAAAATTTGTATCTTTAAGTTTTTGGAATTGATTTTTATGTATTTTTTATATAGTGGAAACTACATTTCATGAATTAGTCTGTTAACTCAGTTTTTCCTATCATCATTGTTTTCTCATTTGCTGACTTCACACTTTTCACTCTTAGTAAACGTGTAGATTGCATTGCTTCTATGGGTGTTGTTCCTCCAGTAGATCTAGAAGTATAACTTGATTCAACAGGCAACAGGAATCACTGTGCATTCACAAGCAGGCAGCCTGTTGGTGTAGTTTGAAAGACTGTGTGGACTGGATACGCAGGATTTTGAAGGACCTGGAGGGAGGCCATGTAGGAGCTCATGATGTAGTTTATCCATGAAGTAACAGGTTAGGCGAGGGTGACATAGTAGTAACAAAATAGGTTGGGAGAGTCAGAGACAGGAGAATCAGGGCTGAGTGGCTCGGGCATTATGGGTAAAAGAAGGAGTTTTACATAAGGTTTCTGGAGAATGTTATTGTCCCTGCTAGAAAGAACCCCCAGGATGGGTCGACTGCTATAAGTGTGACATACTGGGTCACTCCAGTAGCCGCTTCTTGTGGATAAATAGGTGTAGCAACTGGCCTCTAGCTTGAACTGACAAGTTAGATTTACCTTTCACTGGCAGTTCTGAAGGAATGAGTGTGCTCCGTGTGTGGCCATAAGGAGATAATATTGCCACAGATGATGGGATGGGAGTGTTAATTCCTGGCAGAAGTTGAAACTCATTGAAATGTTGATGGAGAACCAAGTATGTTAGTCAACTTTTTGTCACTGTGACACAGTACCTAAGAAAAACAAAGGAGCAAGAATTTATTTTGGGTCATGGTTTCAGAGGTTTCAGTTTGTGGTCAGCTGATTGCAAGGAAAAACCTTGATGATGGATAAGTGTATTGGACGCAAGTGGTTTACATGGTAGCCGGGAGTCAGAGAGACAGGGAAAGAGAAAAACGGAGAGACAGACAGAGACAAACAGACAGATACACACAGCAAGAGAGACAGACAAAGAAAGGGGCTGAGGGTGAAAATATACCTTGTAGTCCTGGGTCCCCAGTGATGTGCTTTCTCTAGTCAGGCCCCACCTCACAATAGCCTGTTTAGCTATGAACTCATCCATGGATTCACCCATTGATGAAGTTAGTGCCCCATGATATAATCACCTTCCCAAAGCCCAATTCTAAATACATGAGCCATTTGGGGGACATTTTGTATCTATAGTCTAAGACCAAGAGAGAGGATAAGAGTTTTGGAGAGGGAGATATCATTGTGGTCCACTAGTCTGCATGTCAGGAAAGACTGGGCTGTGTGGAAGAGGGCTTGATAGTAGGAGCAGGAAGGGTAGAGGGGTGGATGGGAAGGGTAGGAGGCTGTTCAGGGTTGGAGCGTCCAGAAGAATCAGAGGAATAGTTGGAATGCCAGGTTCGGTTATCCAGATAGAACCACAGTGTCTTGGCATGTTCTGGTTCTGTTTATCACAAAAAGAAGTGGGAGGTTAGTGTAGGCTGCCAGGAGGGGTGTAGGGAAGTGACAAGTGGGAGGACAGCCCCGCCTGCCATTGCCCAGTCCTCTGACCCCAGCCTGTTGTCTCTTGGTCCATCCGGGCTTTGGCCTCTGCTTTGGTTCCCAGGCTTTTGACCTCCTTAAACAAAGGTCTTTGAACTTGCTGCTCCCCTCATTTCTGGAACTTCAGCTACTTGTAACTGAGCAGGAAATGTGGCTAAGGCGGTCACAGATGAACTGTTCCCCTTCTCTGCCCCCTTGTTCACCTTGTCACTTAGGCTTGGCTTTCCTGGGAGCTGGTCTGTTCCCTCACAGGATGCTAGCTGCTTTATGAGCTGTTTTGCCTTCTGGATATGGCCATGTGGTCTAAAACATTCTGACCCACACTGCCTGCTGGACCTGCAAGTCAGTGACCCCGAGGTTATCAAAACTCTTGAGTTATGGAGACCACATGAGGGTCACTGAGGATAAGGGAGAATTTCCTAGGAACTTCATTTATTTTTGTAGAGTAGAATAACAGCGGTGACAGAGCCACAAGACAAGATAGGGGCAGCTCCACAAGTGGGGAGATCTGTATGGAAGTTTTCTTAGCATAAGCTTCTGTCAGAGTCATCCAGCTG